TGCAGGAAGCTTAGTCATTTCCTTTATTTTTAGAAGCAAGGAAACAAAAAGAAATTTTACTTGACCTTGAATGTCTTCTACATAAAAAAAAAAGCAATTGGAAAATAAAGTTAAACAATTAACTGGTTCATTCAAACCACCAAAAATATGTTGGTATCTGAATAAGCTAAATGGATTGTCTTGCAGTGAACAGCTTCCCACCTTAATTCTGGAACCATTTCTTCAGTCTGCACAAAAACTTAGCACTTGTGGCTACCTCGCTTGCATCAGAAGCTCTTAAGATTTTCCCCCAGACCTTGCTATTTAGATTGCTGGCTTAAGTTATTAACATGCTGAACATAGCCTGAGAATCTTGATTGGAAACTGTATGCCAGATGATTTATGAGATAATCAAGTAGTTTTTTTAAAAAGTTGATTTAAAGTGATCTTGCCTGTGACTTGCTATATCACCTCCTCTCTCTTCAGCTTTCCCTAAAGTCACCTTGATGTAATGTTCTCAGAGACGTCAGAGGAATGTTCTTCCTTTTTATAAATGAATAAGCTACATAGAGTTATATTTGTAATGTGCTGGGCCTCAAAGTGATTTATTAACATGACATAGAGAGGCCTTTATGAAAAAGTGGTTTATCTCATCACAGTTGCCTGGCATTGTAATTATTCTTGGGATATACCCAAGAGTCACTCCTGAACATACTGTGCTATTAGCCAGGCTTTTCCCATTAATTTGCAATACAATTCATCTGATTTTAAAAAGAAAAAAGTTTTAATCACTGAATAAAACCTCTCCAAAGAAGTTGTGATCTAACGTTGTTTCATACTGTTACCTCATACCTGTTGTTTTCAAATTTGCATATATTTACAAAACTTTAGTAACTTTGAGTGTAATTTAGCATATATAAACAAGAGTTTTGAGTTATTCAGGAGTTCATGAGAAAAATAACAAGTTATCATTTAAAAATTGTTATATTGCTTATAGTATTTACTTACAAATTTTTAAAAATTAATTTTATTCCAGTACAGATATTTCTGTCTGATGAATGAATTTTGAAGTCTGTTGGTTGTGGACAGTGCTATATCAGAAAGCATAGTTAGCTTTCTAGAGTTTAAGAAAATAGAATGAAGTGTATCCCAATCCCATTATGTAAATTTTAAGAGAGTTTCAAATATAGTGCTACATGCGCCCTACCCCTTTTCTCCCCCATAACCCTGTGAAGAGGCCGGATGTGCTTTGGTAACCAGCTTTTATAAATGACGGCACTAAGAATCGTAGGTTTTGTAATCTGTGCAAGATCACACTGAAGGGACTGAAGTAAGATTAGAATTTAGGAAGTTTTACTCTTAGAAAAAGATTTTCCCCACAATCAGTTTGGCTCTACACTTTAAAAAATTACACACATTTTGTAGCTCTTCTGGTTGTTGAGTGTCACTTTACCTACGCCAGTATATGTCCAGATCACTGTAGTTGAGTGGGTTTGCAGTGATTAACTTTCACCGACAGGACCAGCAAACACATCACACAGAGACATCTCCAATGTTGTTATATTCCATTTCCAAAGTATCTCTGCATTTTCAGAAATGCTCTAATTTAGGAAGGCAATTTTTATCTATAATCAAGCGTTGCCTCTGTTAAAGAGAGATGAGAAAAAGATTGAGAATTCTTCTCTCTCTTGGGTGCTCAGGCGTAGAGCAGAGACCAGAAAAGACTATTTGAAAACCTACCCCGTGGCTATTGCTTAGGAACGTGAAATTCCACTCCCTTCTCACCCTCACTCCACAGGCGTGCGCGCGCGCGCGCGCATACACACACACACACACACACACACACACTTATATTCCCAAATTAGTTAGCTGGCTTATTTCTGAGATGTGAGTAGTCTGCTACATTCTTGCAGAGTGACTTTTTCTTTTCCCTCTGCCTCTGGAAGAAATCAGAAGCCAGAAGAATTCAGAAGAAAAAAGGCAGCTGACTAAACATGGGGTTGGAGCTTAGTGCATCCTGTTATAAAACCTTAGTACCCCAGGAAAATCTACAGATTTCTTTATATTCTGATGTATTTGTAATTCACTGCAATCTGCACGGTGTTAGAAACTCTAGTTCACTAGTTAAATTGTTACTATCACAAACACTCATCAGTAATTACTCTATGGAAGAATAAGTTCTTGGCTGAGGCTTTTTGAGTAACTTTATTTTGAAATAATTTCAAACTTACAGAAAAGTTACAAGGATAGTACAAGGAACTCCTAGAAACACTTTCTCCAGATTCATCAATTGTTTACATTTTGTCCCACTCCCCCAACACCGCCCACTCCTCCTACCCCTTCTGCCCCATCAATGTCTGTCTCTTTTTCTCCCTAAATATATTGAAACAGTTTCCCTTTACCTCTTAACATTCAGTATATATTTCTTAAGTACATGGACATTCTCTAACATAACCACCGATACAGTTACCAAGATCAGAAAATTTAACATTGATATAATACAATTATCTAATCCACAATCATAAACAAATTTCATCAGTTAACCTGAAAATGTCCTTTAGTGGCACCAAGTCACCCATCTCTTGCTTGGAGGTAGATTGCTTCCTTGTGAGAGAAAGATTCTGTCCTAGCTGCCTGCTTCCTCTCAGACTTCCTAGTGGGCAGATGGTGTGGCTGGAAGATAATCATCGAACAACGTGTCTTTGAATCAAGTGTTGATTTTCCCACAGGGTGCTGAGTCAGGCTTTTCTGTTTGGGGTTGGAAGGTGAATATCAACCCATGGGCAGACACTGTTGTGGAGGTGGGCCTTTTCTAAAGCTTTTCAGAATTTTTACTAGGGACATAATGTGGCTGTGACTCATGAACTTAAATATAAAATGAATGAATTTATATTAAATTTTCCTGAAACTCTTGTCTTAAAGCGAGAAAGAAATTGTTTTCACAATCCAGAAGCCAGTCTGGATTCATGTATTGCATTTAATGTCATGCCTTTTTCGACTCCTTTAACCTGGACCGGCCCCCTCTGATTTCTTCGTCTTCCACAATCTTGATATTTGTGAAGAGTACAGGCCACTTATTTTAAGAACGTCTGTCAATTTCGTTTGTCTGACTTTCCTGATGATTTAAAAATGCAAGTTAAGCCTTCTTGTTGAGAATTTTACAGAAGTGATGCTGTGTCCTTCTCAGAAAACCGCATCAAGAGACGACACATCGTGTTGCTTGTATTCTTATTAATTGTGTTATTATCTTTGATCTCTTGTTTAACGTGGTATCCAACAGGTTTCTCCACTGTAAAGTTACACCTTTTCCCTTTGTAAGTAATTTTGGAGAGATCCTTTGAAACTATTCAGATATTCATTTCCTCATCAAACTTTCATCCATTTGTTTTGGTACCCACGGATGATTTTTAAATCATCATTCCTCCTAAAATTATTAGTAGACAATCTGTTGTAAAGAAGAGCTTTCTCTTCTCCCCCACTTATTTATTTATTAATTTTTTTTAATAGAGTAAGGATTCATGGATTCTTATTTTATTCAATGAGTTGTAATCTCATTGTTTATTTTGATGTTGCAGTTAACCAGATTTGGCTAGTGGTAGTCCCCTCAAATGGACTCTTTGTCCTTTGTACTTATTCCCACGATTTTTTGAGAACTTCCTTACTTTTTGGCACAGCAAGATTTTCCAGGATCATCTTGAACTTTTCCTGACCTAGCACTGGAATCAGCCATTTTGGTTCTTTTTAGTGGAGAGTGGTATTTACAAATGGTCCTCTGGGAACTAGCTGTGCTCATTGCTACAAACTTGTCATTGCATTTAGTCCTGTCAGCAAACAAGGCTAGGAAATATATGTTTCTCTGTGTATTTTTATATCCATCTACCTATAACTATGAAAAATCACTAAATTTATACCAAACTTGAAATTGCAATTCAATACCAAGGTACCTTTAAATCTTCCCCCTTTACGATTTTATAATTCTCTTCCCCAACAGTGAGAAACCTGCTTTCTATTTTTCTTTTTTTTATTTGCTCAAACCCAGCATACGGAAAAGACTGTTTCTGAATTGTTAACCCATACCACAGCAACACAAAACTACTTAGTAGAGCTCAGTATTGATTTATAGTTATTTTTAGGTAAAAATTTATATGCATTAAATGCATAAATTTAATGGGCACAGTTCAATGAGTTTTGACAAATATACACATCTTCATTACTTTTCTGTTCCTTTATATTTTTTTACTTTGCTTACTCTTCTAATGAACAACTATACAACAATACTATCTTACTGTAATATGACTACGTGTAAAAAGTATATATTCATAGGTTTTTTTGAGCAGTGACTCAGAACAAATATGTCCACTTTGAAATGATGGGAACATTAAACATTAACATTTCCACTTACATAGCATTTGCCTAGTTAGAGACCTAAAAAAATGTTGTCTCTTCTCAAAAATGGGCTTTAAACAGGGCCAAAGATTGCTTCTCCTAGGAGATTACTCAGAGCACTGACTTTGCATGGAAATGAAACTGGGCCTTGTTCTCTGGTGTAACATAAACAAGAAAGAATGTGCCATTAGGGACAGGAGCTGGGACTCTGGAATATGCTCCACTTCTCTGTGACAGAACACAGCTGCTCACTCTCACAGGGGCAGTTAGAGAAGAGCTCTTGAGTTGGCTTTGTTTATCTACTTCTTGTTCACCAGCTTCGGGATGAAGAGAGTGATAGCTCATAATTGTGTTTAGTTTCACTCATCTACAGTTTACATATTTTTAATTATGGCACCAAAATATCTAAATATTCATAGAGAATATCTGAAGGGTTTCTGGATTTTCATTTCTTTGTTAACCTAAAAATTCCAGAAAAAACTTCAACAACTATTTGACAACCTCTGTATGGAAACTCATTTTAAGACATGGAATGGTTATTATTACACAGTTGATTTTTTTCTATAGGAATAGAAACATAAGGGCTGTCAGAAGAGGCAACATGTGTTTTGTTTGTGTGTTTATTTGTTTCCAAGGAGCATAGCAGCCACTGATCATGAACCAACAGATGCCAGGAAATCCTTCCCTTGTTTTGATGAACCCAGCAAAAAGGCTACTTATACAATATCTATCGTCCACCTCAAAGACTATAAGGCACTTTCAAATATGCCTGTGGCGGTGAGTATTTTTTAAATTTTTGTTTCTGCAAATAGTCTGTTTAAAATGTCAGGTAAATTATCCAATTTGCTGTGAGAGAACCTCACTGAATTCTAAAATTAAATTTGCTCTAATAGTTCGTTTAGAGGTTTCAAAATACGTTTTGGCAGTCTCTTTCCTTTGAGTCCTAAAAGTCTTTAACTCAAGAGATCATAGTCCAGTCAATAAGCCATGTTGAGTTTTCTAAGCAAGAGAGAATACATTAGCTATACATCAGCTGGGCTCTGCTTAATGGAAAGAATCCCCAGTCAGGAAAAATTAACGGCAAATTTATTACAGACTTAAAAATATTCGAGGGCTTCATCAGTATTCTTGGTTTTTATGTGAATATAAACCCAGTTTTTAAGATAGATATACTGTAAAATATTGTCAGTTAAATATTGGAGTCCACAAGCCAGCTCCAAGGAACAACATGCCTATAGACTTTCTGGTGAATGAGACATGCTCATTAAATATTAAAAATTAATAGACTACAATAATCTCTGTCTGTACAATTGTTAACATAAGACTCTTTCCTCTGTTACTGCTTCTCATTCCCATAATGGATAATGTAGTTAACTAAAGTGCCATTACCTCAAAATTGAGGTTTGTTATACCTTAAACGTTTGACATATACAAAGGTCAGGCTTGTCTTTAGGTATAATTCTCACTTACTAGTATCAGAAGGATACTCTGCCAAAATTATACCTCCTATCTTTCTGACCTGCTATCTGAAATATCACTAAAATTTATCCCTTTTAATTATAAACATTCCTCTAAAAAAGCAAGAACAAAATAAAACAAACAAATCTTAAGAAGATTAAAAAGTAAACTGCCATCAGCTATCCATGCCTCAGTGTGAATTAGTTTATCAACTTGTTTGCTTCTGGTGTCAGGCACCTTAGAAATTGAGTTTTGATTGGATAAGAGCGAGGAAAAGATAAACTTAAAGTATGACACACCAATCCAGAAGACTGGGTCAGGGTAAAATGCCATTAGAATGTTTGGCATGGAGGGAGAAAAGTGAAGGTGGGAGGAGAAAGAATACAAACTTTACTAACTTCTGCTTAAGACCTCCCCATACGACCTTTTCCTTTTGCAGAGTATATTTCTGGAAGAAGGAGAATATTCTGCATCATTAGATAAAAACTAATACTAGTACATTTTTTTTTTTAATTGCAGCGTATTTTATTTTGCTGGAGCTCCAACACTCCCATACAAGCACATGTGTATACATGCTTGCCTTGTCAATGAAGCATCAATTCTAGTTCAGTCTCCCTTGCTTAATCCCTTTTTAAAGCTTCTCACTGTAGTGTGACTTACTGGGTGGCTGCAGGCGATGTGGAAATGTTTAAACAATAAGTAGCAGGAGTTGGACAAGTTTTCATAGATGAAGTATTAAGGCTGGTGATTGGCAGGGAGGAAAGCAAAGCTGGCATGGACAGAAAACCAGATAGATGGAGTCAGTAATTGCATCAAACAATGGAATCCTTTCTCTTTGCGGTAACTATGGCAGTGAATTTAGTGGTCATACCTTGGGTCTCGATGTAGACAACCAGAGGTGGAACAGAGAACCCAACATCCTGTTATGCCTGGTCCAGCTATTGCTCTCCTGCACATGGTCAAATCAGCAAATACCTACTTAGTTCTTCCCATGTGCAAGGCATTGAGCACTAGCCTAGTCTTCACATAGTATCTCCTCAAATATTATGGTCAGGATTGTGTGTCTCATATAGAAAGCTATATAAAGTCCCGTCCAGTTTCTATCATATTCGAAATTGTATTTCTCCCTCAGAAACTTTATACAGTGTATAGCTCGATCACTCTATCACAGTACTAAAAATAAAATAAATTTCCCTTTAGTTTTTGTGACATCACCATTTCTTTTTATCCCTAAGCTTTGACAAAGAACATCTTACTAGAAACCATTTGTCTTGTATATGATTGACCTTTTGATAAATAAAAAGTTATATTTTGTTTTCAATAGAAAGAAGAATCGGTGGATGATAAATGGAATAGAACAACTTTCGAGAAGTCTGTCCCCATGAGCACTTACCTGGTGTGCTTTGCTGTGCATCAATTTTACTCCGTAAAGAGAGTATCAAATAAGGGAATACCTGTGAGTCACATTATATTTTTACGCCTATGCATTTGTGACTAATCTTCTACTTTTTTGAATAGTTTTTTTTTTTTTTTCATACAACAGACTAGAAAAGCCCAGTAGTTACCAGGGTCTGTGAGCTTGTTGGTACACTGAACAATATAGAAAAATGTAAGCTAAAAGGATATAGGTGAACAATAAACAAACACAACAGATATAGACATGCATAGCCTCAAATTATTGTAAGGGAAAAATTCATTATAAATGAAAAGCTAGCTCCTAAGTACATCATAACGAATATATTAAAATATCGGGGCATGCCCCATTTAGTAAAATGGATGAGTATATATGTTTGGATGGGGTCCTGGACAGTCCAGAGAGGGAGGAGGAAACCAGAGGTAGATCAATATCCTTCAAGTGACTAAGCACTGAGAGATTTGTTGTGCCATTTCTATATGCAATTCAAAATAAGACAATAACAAAGTGTCAAAAAAGCATATTTTTAAGTGTAAGAAAATATAAATACTAAATTTATTTTTATCAAGATGGCTAATTCAATAATATTCTTTTGAAAAACCACGCACTTTTACTTAAGCGTTTTTCTCATTTTGGAGGCCCCAATTTTGCTTAGTCTGTTGTTCCGCCTCTGTGCTACATATTACATATGTAAATATGTATAAAATCTCACAATCTTTGCAATAAAATTTTATAAGGAAGAAATCATTACTTCTATTTTAAAGACAAGGGAATTAAAATGTATTGACTTTAAGTAATTTGTTCAAGATCACCCAGCTGGCAAGTGGTAAAGACTCAAATTCCAAATTCCCTCCAAATACTGAAATGTGATGTTCTGAAAATATTTTTATCTCTTCACCAATCACTGGAAGGAAGGGATGGATTCCTCTATTTCCTGTGAACCTAGCTCCTGGGAAAATTTACCTTAACGTGGGTATAGTAGGGGTTGATACTGAGATATCCTAAACCTTTGTTTTCAGTATGCTTCCTGTAACTGTGTCCAAATTATAGCAAATGGAGAAATGTCTATTTTTCAAAGAGACTTTGAAAGACCTTCTTAAAGGGGTTATATATCATGATGACCCATTCAACTTTTGTCTTTCCTTTATCACATGTATTGCTTTGCTGTGACCTTCAGATGTGGCAAAGGGCACCCATTGGCTAAGAGATAATATTACTATATAGCTATACTGACTGGGTGTGTTGTTAGAGCCTGTACCAGTTAGTTAGCTGAACTTTAATGATGGACTTTACTATGTAGAAGATTTGGAATGACACAATGGAAAACATAGTTTGGCAAAAGATCCTCAAATATATTTTAAGTAGTAAATATTTCTTAAGTGGTTCTTCTATCAAAGCTGAGTGTTTAACATTCTATCATAAATCAGTAAAGTTTTCCTCAGTTGGGTGGGAAATAAAGATAATATTGTCATAATGTATTACTTTATGATCACCTATTTGACAAGAGAGGAACAGAAAGTCTCTTTACACACTACCAGAAACTCTGAGTCAGGAGAATTCAGTGAAAGTGAAACATGGAGCTGAGCAAAGTAGGCGCCTCATTCCCTGCCCCATCTATAAGACAGGCAACCAGAATCTTCTCTCTTGCAAAAACCTGTGGTGCTGTTTTCCTCAAAGTTGAACAGAACCTTATGGGAGAACTTTAAGGCATTTAGTGTGAATGACAAATCGTGGTAAATTCCACCTCTTTGACATTTAGGAAGTTCCCTGCCTGGCTTCCTACCCATTCACTCTAAACTAAAATCTAACAACTGACACCCAAGCACAAATGCTGCCAGTGCAGTTCCCCACTCCTGAAAGAATTACAAAATAAAACAAACATAAAAAAAACACAGTCTACTTAAATCTGCTTAACTGTGACATCAGAGGGAACCCACACCAGCCTTACAGTACTATATTCTTAGAACTGAACAGAGAACCTAAGACAAGCAGGTATATGAGGAAAACAAGCAACATAAAAGAGAAAATCTAAGGCATAGTGGGGGTGAATGGCGATAATTGAGGAAACAAAAGATAATTTTTAAAAAGCCATAAAAATTAAATATTTATACACATGGTCTTTAATTATTATACTCAGAGATATAAGAAGTTATGATCACCATAAAATAAAATCAGAAAGCTATGAAAAAATAATCAGAAACAGTAGTCAGAGTTTAAAAATATGATTTCCAAAGCATGACTTGGCTCTGACCCCCCGGAACCTGTTTCTAATTCTTCCCAAACCAGAATCTAATAAGCCTGTACTTCAGTTCCTGCCCATTGCTTTGAGTTTTTTTTCAACTCTGTGGAGATGCCAATATTGTTTTAAACCCTGATATGTCTTGTAGATTTTCAGTTTTTTTCAATTGCATCTGCTATTTCTGTATGTCAGGAGCAGTGGAGATACATCCAAACTTCACTTTACTGCACCGTGCTGACCCCCTATATTTCTTTGTCAGTTAAAAAATATGAAGCTAGGTAGCTGTTGTCAAATACAACAATATTTTAGTAGAAATTTCATGAATCAAAAGACCATTCTTAATCACTCTGCTTCTGACAGTATTATTCTGGAACATTAATCATGTGCTATTCATAATCTGATTATACCATGTGATTTAAGAATCTATAATACCCTGATTAAACTCTTTTGGGTATCTTCACCCTTCTGGCAAGAGCTCTTTATATCAATAAACACAGAATCAAGGGCTATGTTCTGCTTAATTGTTTATTTGGAGAAAGAACAGCTGATATTAGTAGTTGAACCATTCATTATGTTAAAATGTCCTTATTGCTCATGAGAAAAAATCACATTGGAGGACCTGGTCCGAAAAAATTGTTAAGAAAAAAGGTAACTGAGTTTGGAAGGTAGCTCAGAAGACTTTAAACTGCATATTTCTTTTTTTGAATGTTAGTTGTATTACATTTTGATTCAATCCTGAAGAAAACAGAGTTAACTTAAAGTGTTACAGTAATTTAAGCAACAATTAAGGCCAGCCTTTGATGTCTGACCAGCCATTCTGTTGGCAAGAAAAAAAAAACCCTGAGGGCTTTTTCAGCTTTAGTTGATTAAGGATTTTAAAGTAAATAAAATCACTGACTTTTATCCCAAAAAAACAAAAAACCCTGAACTGTACAAAATGTGGACAGATTATATGACTTCCCAGTTATGTGAAGTAATTCTTGAATTAATAAAATGTGCTTCTCTCGCTCTTGCAGGAGTCATATCATGGGAAACAATATCCCCAACAGACATGTTATTAACTTAGTTCAACTCAAAGTCTCCCAATGGGATATACTGCAGTTGATTTTCAAATCCAGAACAATACAGGTTACAAATATATTTTTAAGTTTTTAAAATTATAGGTTTAATACACATGCATTAAAGAAAATTTGGAAGAAAAAAAGCAGATAGGAAAAAGAAAAATTTCTCATATTGCCATATATAAAATCATTTTAAGTTATTAGGTTTGTGATGCTGAGATATATTTGAACTATGTCTTCAGTAACTTTGTCAGAGTTTTCAACTTTGCATAGCATCCTAGGAAACAAATTTAGGACAAATTAAATGGCAAGTTCCCAAGAAACAGTAAGTTCTAATTAAGCCTTGAATTTCTTTGGGACATTTGACTCTGTCTTCTGCAAAGAAGGATGTGCTAAAAGAAGCAATTACCTTACTGGAGATTATTTCAACTCTTGGCTTTTATCGTAAGAGAAGGAAGTTGGGAAGAATTGCTCACTAAGAGAATGCTGGTTCAAAGTATCCATTTAATTAGTTTATGCTATAACCATATTAATTCTAGTAACTCAGTAAGAGAGATTCTATTGTGCCTTCTTCCAAAAAGTCTTAGGTTGATTCCTGAAGAGTTGCACCTAGAATTAAACCTATGAATGAATCGTTTCTACTTTCCTGTGTCTTCTTACTTGTTTTTGTCTTATTTCACTGTTTGTCTGGATCAGAATGATTGGTCAAGGGCAGAAAATATGTATGTCATGGATTTTTTTTTTTGATACACTTTATTTTTTAGATCTGTTTTAGGTTTTTGAATTTATACATTCCCTAACATGAAAATAGTCTAATTAGAAAAAAAAATCATTGTTTTAATATTCAGGTCTATTTTTTAAACTTATTTTGAAATAATTTTAGATTTACCGAAGACTTGCAAAGATAAAACAGAGAATCCCTTTGTAAGGTTCACCCAGCTTTCCCAATGTTAACCATTTACTTAATTATTTATCATACATTCATCAAAACCAAGGAATTATTATTTGTACAAAACTATTAAGTAGACTATAGCTTTTATTTGGATTTCTCCAGTTTTTTCAACTAATGTGTTTCTTCTGTGGCAAGATCCAATAGATGATACGCATTGTATTGGTCATGAGGTCCCCCATCAATTCCTCTCCTCTGTGACATTTTCTCAGTCTTTCCTTGTTTTTTTTTTTTTTTAATTATCTTGACACTTTTGAAGAACACTGGTTAGATATTTTGTAGAATATCCCTCAGTTTGGGTTTGTCTGGTGTTTTCTCATGATTAGACCGGGGTTCAGATTTGTGGGAAAAATATTGCATAGGTGGGCTACTCTTGTCATCATATGTCAAGGAGTGCATGCTAGTAAGATGACTTAATATTGGTAATGCTAACTTTGATCAACTGGTTAAGGCGATGTCTGCTAGGTTTTTCCACTGTAAATCACTGTTTTTCTTCTCCATACTCTGTTGGAAGCAATCACGAAGCACAGCACACACGCAAGGGGAAGGGAGTTAAGCTCCACTTCCTGGAGGGAGGACTATCAAAGATTTTGCGGATATTTGTTATAACCACCTCAGTAGTTAATAAATACAAGGGGAGAGATAATTAAAGGCTGTGTAAAATCCTATTTCTCCTTAAAGCTTTGACCAGTCACTGTCACATTCACCAGTGGATCTTGCCTGCAGCAACACTTATGTGTTCTAAAGTGAATTTTCTGCTTCCCACAGAGCTATTCTTGACATAGGCTTATTT